CGCGGCGAGAAGCAGAACCGAGGGGAGAGCCCGGAAGTCAGGGCTGGGGAGCCAGGCCGCGGCGGGATGCTCGGAAGGTGGTCGAGCACACGGGGAGTCTGGGACGTGCTGAGTGAGCGAGGGGCGACCGCAATGCTCCAAGTTTAATTCCAGAGGTGGCCAGGGGTTCTTTAGGCCGGCCGCCTCCCAACCTCCTGGAGCCTGCAGATCAGGAAACAAGTTGAGTATAAGCTCGGGCAGAGACCCCGACGCGAGGAACTGAAAGGGACTAGAAAGAAGAGCCAGAGCTTGTTGGAAGCCGAGGGCCAACGCAAGCACCAGAAGTTCCGAGCCAAAGAAATGGGTTCGCGAGAACCTTAAATTTGTGAGGTCATTGTAGCTTCTGAAAACGAAGGAGTTGAGGCAGACAGGATTTGTTAAACCTCGAGCCCTGATTTGTCAGCTCAGGTACTTTTTTGTTGTTACTATGACAGAGAAAAAAAATCTACTGTACTTGTTATGGGGTGTGGTGGAGCCTGAGGCTTCCAAAGAACGGTAAGATGTCAGATGAAGTGCAGAACAGGCCTTGAAAGCCTGAGCTGGAGGAGGAGTGGTCACCTTGAAGAGATGGGATCCCTAGGGATTAATAGGGGACAGCTGGGTTGAGCCAATTTGTGAGATTAGAAAAATCGAAGCACACTTTGTCCAACCACGTGCTCCTTGATAAAAGTGATTTCATTGGTGCGTGGTGAGACTTATCTGCTGTCGAAAATCACTGCGGATGTGATGTGGTGATTTTATAATGTGGATTTTGATCAAACCTACTCAGATTCCAGAAAACAAACTTTCTGCATAGTTCTCAGGTAAGGAGCGGTAAAATCAGGAACTGACATGTTGTGTCCACTTAACCTTTTATCCAGAACAGAAATGATTGTAGTGTAGAAATGCGTTTTCTAGAATGGAAGTGTGTTTCAGACAAAATAATCTTTTACTCTCTGAAAAGTTAATACGTTTGGGATTATTCCAGTTTGCTTATTTCTGATGTAAAAATCTTTTAGCTAGTCATTCTACTTATCTGTAGTGCTTATTATCATCAAAGTGCGCTCCACCAGGTGCAGAAACAAGGATGCTTTTTAGCTGTCAGGAACTTATGTTGCAGTTTTTCAAACTAGTCATTGTATTATTAGTAATCCCAAGCTGGAGTCCCGAACCACTTGTTTCTCTTAGGAGTTAACTAGATTCAGGTGTTTTTAGTATCGCTGCATGAGGGCAGAGAGGAGGAAAAAAAACAGAAATTGTAATTCAGGACAGAAAAAAAAGTTTGTTGTCATAGGAAAAAATTCTCTGCTTTTCATATGAATATATACCAATAGGATAATTTCCTCATGTAGTGATAAAATAGCTTGTTACTAATAAAGGACAGCTTTATATAATTTTATGTATCTTCAGATTCCAAAGGGTTCCTCCAGGTGGCTGAAGACATATCCCCTGGCAGAGCCACTGGAAAGGATCCTTTACCTGTGGGAATTCTATCTGAAAGTTTCTATGGTGCTTCAGTATCAGGAGAGTAGGGCTGGTTAGAAATGCTGCACTGAAGGCATGCTAGTATATTTCTTAGCTAATAAGGAGGGGCACCTTGTTTGTTTCATGTTTGCTCTTAGGAAAGTTTAAACCTAGAAATAGTCTTGCTATTTTGTTTACCTGTAAGGCCTTTTACATCAATCAGTAATGAGAATTGACTGCTGGATTACCAATTCCTCTCCTATGTTCTGTTCTTCCATAAAGGGAATAAAAAACACTCCAAGTGTAGTACAGAGACTATTGGAAATATTGGGACACAGCTTTTTCTACATTTTTTCATTAGATTTTTTTCAAATCCCACCTATTTGGTTTCTAGAAGTGATACGTAGCAATCATAGCATGGATAAAAGGTTAAGTGGACACAACATGTCAGTTCCTGACTTTACCGCTCCTTACCTGAGAACTATGCAGAAAGTTTCTTTTCTGGAATCTGAGTAGGTTTGATCACCAGGTTTGGTGGTACACACCTATAACCCCAGTACTGGGGAGGCTGAGGCAGGAAGATCCACCAGGAGCCTACATAGTGAGAGCCTATTTGAAAAAAAAAAAAAAAGTCCTACAGTCATATTCACCTGGAGGAGGGGTGAGGATAGGGGTTAGAAACAGGTCTTTTCCCTCAGCTCAGTGTTCTCTCCACTGTATGATAAGGCTGTCTTTTTCTATTCCTTAAACCCCCTTGGAATTAAAGATTTAACTTCCTGTTCCTATAGTATTCTAGGCTTTGGGAAAACAAACAAATCTATCCTCTTTATATTCTGTTATTTAATGCATTTTAATGAAAGGTGCTCAAAGTGTGTATTTCAATGAGTCTTATATTATCCCTCTTAATAAATGATTTCTTTGTATTGTTTTAAGAATCTCCCAAAGAATATAGATTTTACAGTTGGTTCTTACTTTCTCCTCATAAGCCACAGTGAACATTTACATTTTTTTTTCGGATACTGGGGATCAAGCTTGGGGGACCTTGCACTTGTGAGGCAGGTGTATTGCCACGACCAATAACCGACCCAGACAATTACTTTTTTTTGAGGGGCCAGGGATTTAGCTCACAGATTCCATTACCTGCCTTGCAAGCAAGCACAAGGACCAGAGTCCGATCCCTGGTACCAAAAATAAAATAAATAAACAATTACCTTTTTTTGGTACTGGCGATCGAATTTGGGACCTTGTGCTTTCAAGGCAGGCAGCAGAGCCACTGAGCTAAATCCCCAGCCCAGACATTTACTTTTGTTTACATATTCCCTAGAGAACTGCAGCCTTGTCTGATAGGGATGACTCGAAAAGCAGTCTGATCATAAATAAGGTGTATTTTACCATTTATTTTGCTAAAGAACTACAGAGTTGAGACCGGGGTTGTAGCTCGCTGTGGTAGAGCACTTGCTTAGCATACACAGGCCCTGGGTTTGATCTCCAGCACTGGAAAAAATAAAAAGAAAGCTAGGTGATAGAGCACACCTGTAATGCCTATAATTCCAGCACTCTGGAAGCTGAAGCAGACAGATCACAAGTTTGAGCCCAACCTGGGCAGTTTAGCAAAAACAAAAAGACTGGGAATGTAGTTCGTTGCAAAGGCCCAGTACTACCAAATCAATCTATAAATATATAGCAAGAAAAGTAGAAAAACTACAGAGGTAAGTCTTTAAATGCAATTTTGCATTTATTGCAATTAATGCACAGTTTCAGAGAACAGAAACTGTGGACCCCTGATTGTATTGTGGTGGTCTGCATGATACACAGTGCCTCTTTTTAGCATGTGATTAGTCTTTGCTTATTGAAAAGGGTCCACTCAGCTACTCAGATGCCCAACAGATAACCTGAAATTTGGATCTTCAATCTGAAATAGATGTTTGGCTTAATTGAGGTGGGGTTATAATTCTTTGTCTCTACTGTTAAAATTCACCATACTATATTTGCATTCTGTGTTCTTTTCTACAGCTTGTCTTAACTTCCTCTTATACACATACTCATACTATCACAAAAGAAACAACTCTTCTACTTAATTGCTTCATTGATACTATGTTGTTTATTAAAGAACAGTCTAAACTAGATCTGTTGGGTCTGATTTAAACTAAATATTAAAGGTAAAATTGAAACTTACTGTCCAATTCTTGAGGACATGTTCCTTAGAATCAAGCAGAATTTTGAGTCTTAATATTGATACCATCAGATCTATATATAGGTGTTTTTTTTTTTTTAATTTTTAAATTTTTTGGTTTTTTTGGTTTTTTAAGACAGGGTTTCACAGTGTAGTTGAGGCTGACCTGGAACTCACTATGTAGCAGCAGGCTGGTCTTGAACGCACTGTGATCCTCCTGCCTCAGCCTCCTGAGTGCTGGGATTACAAACGTGTGCCACCACACCCGGCTTGGGTTTTTTTTGTTTTGGTTTTTTTCCTGCTAATTTTTGCGGTACTGGGGATTGAATCCAGGCATTTCCCACAGAGCCACATCCACACCCCAAGACTTTTTTCCTTTTTAAAATTTTTTAAATTTTGAGACAGTTCCTCCATGAGTCACTAATTACACCAGCTGGGTTGAAATTTGTAGTCCTCCTGCCTCAGCCTCCCAGATTTCTGGCATTATAGACATGTACCATAACACCAACATTGGTTCATGTATTTTGAATATATTATTACAATAGACTCTGTTGCAGAAGAATATTATTTTGTGAATGATACATTGCTTCTAATTCCAATTCTATCTTCTTTACTTACTTTATTATTATTTGTTCATTTATTTATTTATTTATGGGGGGGTACCAGGGATCAAACTCAGGTCCTTATGCTTGTGAGGCAGGCGCCAGAACCACTGAGCTAAATCCCTGGCCCACGTTCTTGTTTTTGTTTTGGTACCAGTCCTTGGGCTTGAGAGGTGGGGCAGCACCACTGAGCTAAATCCCCAGCTATTTTTGTTTTTTGAGACAAAGTTTTCACTTTGTAGTTCAGACTGGTCTCAAACTTACTATGTAGCCCAAGCTGGTTTTATACTCAGGGATCCTCCTGCCTCAGTTCCCAAATGCTCAGATTACAGGTGTATGTCCCCATGCCTGGCTCTTCTCTAGTTATTTTAAATGCAAGCTCGCTGGGGTGTATAGTCTTCCCAGTACCATTTTCTGTCACCCAGGACTGAACAGCTTACTTGCTGGCCTGTCATATAATGGACAGCAAGAGTAGGGACTCATTTTCTTGTACACATTTCTTAACCACCCCTTTCATCTTCCTCTTGTAAACTTAATGCTTCTGCTGACTACTCCTGTTCTCCCCTCTTTGTTAAGTGGAAGACAAGCTTCTTGTTGACAGGCCTGTTGCCCTCCTCTCAGATTCATGGCATGTCACAGCTTTGTGGCCAGTTATAACCATGTCCTCCAGACAGAAGAGAGGCTTTGAGAAGAATGACCGTAGCTTCTGACTGTCCTACTGCTTTCCTAAAGTCACTGACTGTAGGGCAATATTGAATTATAAATCCCAGAACTAAATGAGGTTTGAAGATCCAGCAGAGATTAGAAAAGATGGCTACATTGCTCTTCCCTTATCTAAAAGCTCACCTCTTAATAAGTTCCAGATGGTCAGAATCCTGTGTCTCCTCTTTCTGGAAAAACTTTTCTCAACCTTTTCTGCACAGTGGGCATTGATGCTCTGCAGACAACCCAGTACTCTCATGCCTAAGGTCTGTCTGGTCCTAACTTATCCCTGAAAACAATATATTCATCACTGAAAATAAATACCAGCTATTTTTGCTGTGGCCATTTCCTGATTCAGAAAACTAGGGTCTTCTAAATAGATGAAGAAGAGATTAACAAAGGGGAGGCAAAAATAAAATACACACCTGCCTTTTGGGATAGCAGAGATATACCTGTTTTGATATTCTCTCTAGAGTTACTTTTAGGCA